ATGCCCTCAGCTACAGATGACCGCAAAAGGGCCCTTCAGAGTGTGTGTGTGTGTGTGTGTGTGCGCGCACCTGGTTTTCATCATGTCATCGTGACCAAATGCCCCCACAAGTATAATAATGCCAGCCCTTTTTAACCTTGTTTTTGACATTGTTTGGTCCCCATGAGGAAAACGGTTCATAAAGCATACAGAGCGGACTAGGTTTAGGGGTAGTGGACAGAATATAAACAGAATCTACAGCCTGTACATTATAAAAATGATACCGTCTATGGGAAGTCTTCCTAAAACGACTGTGTGTGTTTGTTAATCAGTGTGGACACTGGGAGCTGACAGGTTTCCATTCACATCACAATAAATGCTGTTTTGTCTATCTAGGTGATTTACTGGAGTTGGCTATTGATAAACAAATTAGCAGTTGGAGATGTGAAGGTCAATTCTTGCAATGACTTCTCTGGGAGACACAAACATAAAGAAAAGATTATAGGTGAATGTAGTTTTGTGATACTAAAATACTAAAATATTAATAGTTGTGTTTATGATACGTCTACTTCTGCGTTCTGAGGTGATTTTGGGGCCCTTAAGACCCTGTTTTTTGGGGCCCCTGTTTTGACCTGCCTTGAAATGTGTGCTTATTTAAGCTACTCATATATTAGCCTACATGTATTTTTGCATAAACCGTGCTACAATAATATGTGCATAATATGGATGTAGATGCTAGTGTTTTTTTCTAATAATATTATGCATAGTTAGTTGGTTTAAAGGGAAAAATGTAGCTAAAATAAGGTTCATAAAAACATACTGGATGGGCCTGACTTTTGAGTAACCAGTCCTGTAGGCTAGAATAGAGTTAAATATCTTTGCCCGAACCTGATGGTACCCAACAGGTTCGGGTGGGTTCGAGCTTAATTTCTACCATTTTAGACGAGGTCGAGCCGAGCTTGGCCTGTGCGGTAAATGAACCGTCATGTAATGCATATCGATTAGTGCGCGAAAGTAATCAAATCATTTGTTATAACATTAAAATCCATCACTGCAAAGGTAAAACAAATGATAACGGAGAAGTCAAAAAGTGTGAATTTTGACTGCGTTGAGGCCAGTCGCCAGTTTAAAAAAAGGTAATTCTAGCCTCCAAGGTACTTCGGCGGTCGCTCATACACTGCGTATTATGGTAGAGCGCTAAACAGCAATGTACAGCAAGCTGACAGGGAAGACGACAAGGTCACTCGCTACATTGAAACTGCTGCCATGGAAAACTGATGCTAGATTAGCCAGAACTGTATGCATCCTGGCCAGTAGCAGCAGCAGTGAAAGGGTGTTCAGTGCTGCTCAGTCAGCGCAGAACTGCGCTAAAGCCATTTACAGTGGATTCAATAATGTTCCTCCACAAAAACACAGCCTAATCTTGGTGAGTTAAGAATTTTCTAATTATAACTAAATGTTATTTAAACCATAAAATCCTAATGTAATCAGAGTATACAGCTAATGTTGGCATTATTCTTTTAGTATTCAGCTTCACCGTCACCTTAATGCCAGATTATGTTATGTTAAAACATGTATAAACAATATATTCATGAAATAATGGGTTCTGGCTTTTAAAAAGCTGTCATTTAAAATGTACTTGTAGGCTTGGGCCGAATTCTGTTAGGCTCAGGCCTTATCAGGCCCAACTTTTATGGTCTGATTACAGCTCTAGACTAGAATATTTACTTCATAATTATGTGAAAATTATTCTGTTCTCTCATTCAAAAAAAAAAAAAAAAAAAACATTACAATGATTTACATTTTGTAACAAGTCAGTTTTTGGGTCAAACCTGCTGTATGGGTGGAAGTGACAATAGCCATGAATAATTCACAGCTGGAGAGACAAAAGACACCCCCCACTGTCTAATGTTCACCCATCAAGGGCAGCCTAAAGAAATCAAGGACAATTGTAACAACTAAGCCAAAGTAGCTGGTGAGTGTGATTGCATTAAAAATAACTAGATCAGACTGAGAAACTAGACATAGTGTTGGCTTCATACTGATTACTTTATAAAAAAAAATCTATTTGTTTTCAACAAGACTTACTGCATTTTAAAGTTCAACATGACTTTAAAAGTAGACACTACAATAACAGTATGTCTCATGTCTGTGTATGTTGTTTTTGTAGAGTTTTAGTTTATTTTAGTGATGCATTTCTAAAAACAGTTTGCAGAGAGGCAAAACAGGCACTGTTTATTTTCCTTATTTTGCAAAAGCTCACACTTTGTTGTTATTGTGAGTGTACACAAAAAAGTAGACACCTAACAGATTCATATGGTGTAATTTGTGTAACCAAGATCAACAGAGTATTCTTAGTGTCTTTTGCACTGATAAGAAAAAAAAAAGATGCTGGTCGTGCCGACTTCTCAGAGGCTTAACAAACACTTAAAAAAACTATTTAAGTGTTAAGAATATCTATGTATGGAAAAAAAAAACATGTGAGCAACTTAATATTTTTTAATAGCTGGGATTGAGTAAAACATTAATATTTGTTTTAGTTTATAAAGATCTGATTAAATTTCTTCCAAATATTAATAAAAAATAATAATATTGCCATGTGGATCACTTTTATATATTACATATATAAGTAATTTATTTCTTCAAACTATTTAAAATTGTGATTAAAATTATTAATCCACTTAATTTAATTTTCTAACCCTTTAATTTAAAACACTGGATGTTTGCTGTCTAAAATATAATATAAACCATTTTTGTTATTTTGATCAATCTACGCTATATTTAAATATGGTGTAAAGATGCATTTACAGTTGTCCAGTCTTCAGTGTCACACAATTCTTCAAAAATCATGCTGAAAATTTGATTTTCTAAAAAAGAAAATCTTCTTATTAAGCTGCTGAACATTTTTGATGCATCAGAGAAGTGTTTAATAAATATAAAGTGTAAATAAATGTAACAGAACATAATTAAATTGAAATACTTAGAAACTACATATTACAGATTTCTTAACATTATTCACAATCTGACTAAAATCTTGTTGTCCATTCCAGACCTATTGGACCTATTGGAACCCGCATGGACCCAAGATTCTCACAGAAATCAGACAAGTTTGGTGAAGAAAATTTGTTGGTTTGAGATTACATTCAGTATGGGGGTGTGCGAGAGATCTGCACAGTAACAGCCTGAGGTATCAACACCTTTGTCCTGCCCATTACAAACCACAGGAGAGGGCAAATTCTTCAGCAGGATAGCGCTCCTTCTCATACTTCAGCCTCCACATCAAAGTTCCTAAAAGCAAAGAAGGTCAAGGTGCTTCAGGATTGGCCAGCCCAGTCATCGGACATGAATATTATTAAGCATGTCTGGGATAAGGTGAAAGTGGATGCATTGAAGATCAATCCAAAGAGTCTTGATGAACTCTGGGAGTCCTGCAAGAATGCTTTCATTGCCACATGACTTTATTATTAAGTTGTTTGAGTCATTGCAGAGATGTATGGATGCAGTCCTCCAAAGTCATGGGAGTCGTAAACAATATGAATTCTTTTTCCACTGCACCATGGCTTTATATTCTATACTGTACATTATTTCTGTTAAGTGACAAGGCTTTTGTCTAAACAGAGTCAGACCTTACTGTCCTAATTATATCAAGGCATGATCATATTTTATTTTGGTATATTAGTAAAATCTAGAGGCCTTTGCCTTTCATATAAGCCACTTCTGATCCCAAATGATCAACTAGAAGTCAAGGTATTATTTGTTGTTCCTAAAATTTGGATAAGCAACAAGTCTTTTGTCAGGTAGTGTAGATGTCACTTCATAAATGTCACTTTTGATCAATGTAATGCTTGGCTGAATAAAAGCAATCATTAGCAATCAATGATGTGATGGGAAGCAGAACTAAAACATCGTCCTCTACAAATCTGCACGAAAGGTCAATCTATCAGACGTGTTGGGTTCATTAATTGCTCTTCATACTTGATAACCTAAGCAGCGGCACTCTGGGGACTGATGAAGGACAGTTTGCTTTTCAATCCTGTACATGGCTCGACTACAGCATGTTTAAAATGTGTCATGCACATGTATTCATGAATGCTCAGAATTCACAGAAGCAATCAAACTTCATTAATCAAGCATATTAAATAATGTTAACACAATTTCCAACACATGCCTAATTAAAAAGAGAAATGCAGCTTCTGATCATTTACTAAGATTTCAATCCATAATATGTGGAGACCTTTGATATTGTTTAAATAACTCTGTTGTTAGGTGCAACACTATAATGACAAGAATCTCAATACACTAAACATAAAGCAGGCATTCATAGTAATAGATATAGTAGAAATATCTGCAGTTTCCCAAAGAACCATTCAGTGATCATTTATTTAAATAATGTCTTTTCTTTTAAAATGTAAGCTGTTAAAAACATTTCACCAACTCCAAGCTTTGAGTGATATTCTAGGCGCACATCCAAAAACAGCTAAAAGAATGCTGTAATCAACACATGTTCTGACCATGACAGCAATAACTTAAATATCTGAATAAGACTTTTTTCCTTGGGCCAATTCGTTTGACTGTCACATCAGCAGAGATATCCCTGTTTCACCAAGCAGCTTCTGTCATATTAATGAAATGATAATAAATTAATGATGAAGTTCAAGAAGTCACAAATCAATTAAAGAATCAGTCTTCACATTGACCTTATTCTTTCATGCAAGAGCGGCCGCAGCCATTGGAACCTTATTAGCTTAACACTTTTGGTCTCTTTCTCTCATATTTTGCCATAAAAAGCAGCTCCTTATACTGAATGATGTTGCAAAGTAGTATTTTCCTATAATTTTATTTCGATTTTCATGTACAGTCATAAACAAACTTGTATGTAGAGCAAGTAGTTTGACCATTTTCATCCATTTGTTATTCCTAGTCATTTCCTCATTAGCACATAAATCAGAAATCCTAAAACAACTGCAGAAAAGAGGTTACTTCTTCACTGCAGAATAAGGTGAATAGAGTACAGCAGTTACCTATAGTAGTGATGACGGTCCCAGCAAAGAAGAAGGAGCTGCTGAGGTCCCACATGCTGCTCTCATTGGAGGGGTGACCGGATGGATTGACCCCGGCCCGGATGGCTAACACCACTTGCTGTGGATGAGAGAACAGATTTCAGAAATAAACATCAAAAAGTGCTACAAGCCTCTATAAGCTTAAACCAATGACAAGAGTGAAAAAACAATATTCATTGTCCTTCACTAATCATGTTTAATATTCTCTTTCTGATTTTGACAATAATGTAATATGCATATATGGTCACAGACATATCACCCTGCAACCCAAGAGTGGTTACTCACTGAAGCTAAGCTGGGCTGAGCCTGGTCAGTACCTGGATGGGAGACCACATGAAAAAACTAGGTTGTTGTTGGAAGTAGTGTTAGTGAGGCCAGCAGGAGGCGCTCAACCTGCAGTCTGTGTGGGTCCTAATGCCCCAGTAAAGTGAAGGGGACACTATAGCACTTTGGGTGAATGGGCATACATGATAAATGCACTATATTAATACTATGATGTAAATGTGCACCTTCTGTAAACCTGCTTTGAAATGATAATTATTATGAAAATCCTATACAAATAGGCTGAATTGAATCGAATTGAGCTTATGGTTAGTTCCAGCAGGACTTGTAAGTTCATGACTCGTTTCTGATTCTGATATCTATCCCAGTGGTGTGTATTTAAATTATATATCTGGTCTCTCTTCACCAATTCTACACTTCCTCCACCATTCAAAACTTCTAGCTCCTAGCCAGGGCCGGAGAGGGATTCCTTTTCAGCCCTGAAGTTTCAAGCCTTAGACCGGCCCACCTCAGTTCACAACTGACTATATTAAAATAAGGCAATTTCTAATTCAGTTTCTAATGACACTATCATGTTTTTTTTAAGGAAACAGCTGCTTTAGAACTTCAAATGTTTTTCATAAGTATGAGAACATTAAAGGGTCGCTAAATCTCCAACACTATTCTTTAAAACCTCACAATGTTCTTTGCTGCAATATCTGAATATATATTCTGTGCTAAATTCTTTTTAGATATCCAGTCCTTTGTAATGATGGTCACAGTAAAAATAAAACATGTACACCTACATAACTAACCCTAACATCATTATAAGTCTTAACACTAAAAATGACAATAAATAAATAAATAAATTACTCAGGTGAAGTTTGAAGTCAGGTCGGCAGCATCTTAACACAATGTGCTGACCATTGGACTACAATGGCGCTATTAAGCTGGTGCGAGACTCTTTCCACCACAGTATTACTTTCTATTGACAGCTTAATCTTTTTATCCCCTTTTTTAATTTCTGATCAAGTTATGTCAATTTTTTAAATTAAGTGAATCATCTGATTTTCATTGAGCAGGTGTAATATTCATTAATATTAATATTCATTAATATTAATTATTCAAATTCTTATATTCACAAAGGTGCCGCTGTTTGGGTAACTGTAGCTGTTGGTGTAACCTGCAGGCTGCATTTTGCTCACTGAGCTGCGAGAAAAAAAATAAGAAGAGCGGACCTGCGGCAAAATAATGAATAAAAAGAGTGAGGCTATAGTCAAAAAAAAAAAAAAAAATTGAGACTGCTGAGAGTGCAAGCAGCTAGGAACACCGGCCCTTGCGGCCACAAAACAGACCAGCCCACTGGGAATTCTCCCGGTCCTCCCGATGAGCTAATCCAGGCCTGCTCCTAGCTTATTTCTGATATGTGTTTGAAGTATTTGTATAAGGAGTATTTTCTGTTTAGGGACAGGGATCCTATAGGTGTCATACATCTGTGTCACTGTTGCAAGGCACTCACACAAGATTACCACAATCCTCCTTTCCCCCCGCTTTAAAAAAGGAGCTCCCCCCAAGGTACACAGTATAGTTATTACACTGGATTCAACTGTAATCATATGAAGATCCAAGAACACATTTGTTCACCCTCAAGGCTTTGTTTGCCTTTGTTCTGTGCATGAGAACAAAGTGTGCATTTACTACAGTATAGGCAGTATGATACTTGTGTGTTGCGCTGCTCACAATAGCAATATATCATGCAATGTAATGTGTGTATTTATATAGCGCATTTACTATGTATGGCCAAAAACCCAAGCGCTTTGCAATCATGAGGGGTGGGGTCTCTCCACACCACCATCAGTGTGCAGCATCCACTTGGATGATGCAACGGCAGCCACCGGACAACAGCGCCAGTGCGCTCATCACACATCAGGTAATGGTGGAGTGCAGAGCCAATTGGGGAGATGGGGATGATTGGGATGCCAAGTTGGGTAAGGACAGATGAGGGTTTGGTCAGGACACCAGGGTTACACCCCTACTCTTTTATGAGAAGTGCCATGGGATTTTTAAAGACCACAAAAAGTCAGAATCTCGGTTTAATGTCTCAACCAAAAGATGGATATAATAGTATAAATTATAAAAATAGTAGTATATTATAATAGTATATAAACATATCAAATATGTCATACTGCAAAGTACACGTGCATGACCTGTTTTTGGTTGTCTTGTCTTGGGACAATTTCTGTCTATTAAGGATGAGAGAGCTCTCTGATTTCTTCTAAAATATCTTAATTTGTGTTTTAAAAATGAATGAAGGTTTAATAGCATAGGAACTACATGAGGGCGAGTCATTCATAACAGAATTGTAATTCTGTAAACATTTTAAGCAAAGTTAAAATTTTCTAACAATAAACACATTTTTTCATAACCTTCTTTGGCAACATTTAACGGTGACAATAGAAAACTTTGGCTTCATTGTTCACCCAAAAATGACAAGTCATCATTTACTACCTTCTCATGTCATGTCGACTGTAATTTTTAGATGCATTCTGCCTTTAACAAAAGCAAGAAAACATTACAGGGTCAGAATGACATAGAGGTGAGCAAATAACACATTTTCAGTAGTAGAAGCATTGCATGAATATAGGGCACGTTTATTTAAAAACTGACACCTGCATTTCACATTCACCCTTTCACTGTATTCGTCATTTTAACAATGCTATTTCCAGCTGCTATTGTGCACAGAGGGATGTAACAGGTTTACATGCGAAGCAGACTGTATGGCGGGCTCCAAATGCCCTCTTTCAGGGCCTTGAACAAACACACAGATCTGTTCTTTATCAGTGCTCTACAGCATCTCTGGATTTTACGTCACACATTACTGTCTCAGCTGGAGGTTAGGACAGAATTTGGTCTGTAATTTAATTTACCGTCGAATCCGTTATAGTAAAGGGCTGCCTGATCAGATGTGTGCGCCTGTGTTTGTGCAGAGAGATAATCTCATTCGTTTTATTCTGAAGAATAAGAAAGAGGTGCATTTGAGATCAATATTTTTGCTTAAGACCTAAAGTAACTTAATGCTAGCTAAGATGGAACTGACTAAAATCAAGGAATGTGTAGCTTTTTAAAGAGATTTTTCATCAATTTTACACTGAGTGGAAGGTCAAAGCTTTGCTGGATTTGTTCTGTTCTTATTTCACAAGTATGCAGAGACTGAACTAAGTGAAGGGCAAATGGTGGAGCTGTCCAGGGTCCTTAACTCATAACTCGCTCATTCTTTCTTTCCAGAAATTACACTTGACACGGGGTTGTGCATGACATGAGAACATGCAAGATACAATGTGCAAAAACAGAAATTGCCGTTGCTAAAATTGCAAAAAGGCGATGCAGTGGCACAGTAGGTAGTGCTGTTGCCTCATAGCAAGAAGGTCACTGGTTCGAGCCTCAACTGGGTCGGCTGCGTTTCTGTGTGGAGTTTGCATGTTCTCCCTGCACTCGTGTGGATGTCTTCCGGGTGCTCTGGTTTCCGCTAAAATTGTCCATAGTGAATGAGTGTGAATGAGTGTTTATTGATGTTTCCCAGAGATGGGTTGCGGCTGGAAGGGCATCTGCTGCTTAACAACCTGCTGGATAAGTTGCCGGTTAATTCCGCTGTGGCGACCCCGAATTAATAAATGTACTAAGCCGACAAGAAAATTGATGAATTAATGAAAATTGTAAAAAGTGCCACTTACATGCTGTTGTAGTGTCTAAATAATTGAAAAGTTTTAGTTATAAGGGAACTGTATGGAGAATTGCCTTCGTAAACAGTTGCATTTATGTATGATGTCCAAATAAAATATTGAATTGTAAAATTATAAAAGTAAAGCTGCAATTAATGTCCAAATATCAGAAAATTGAACTATTCATTTGATTCTCTGAAGTTTATTGAATAAAGGGGTGTCCAAACATGGTCCTGGAGGGCCGGTGTCCTGCATATTATAGTTCCAACCCCAATTTGACACACCTGAACCAGCTAATCAAACTCTTTTTAGGTATACTAGAAACTTCCAAGATTGCTGAAGGAAGTTGGATCCAAACTATGCAGTACACCGGCAGGGCTGAGTTTGGGCACCACTGATTTAATATAACCATTGTTTTTGGAATTTTTAGAAAATACTTTTTTTTTTTTCTTCAATACTCAAAAAAAAATCTGAAAATTACTGAGAAACTCCAGTTTTAGTCATTTCCATTAACATATATTTTTGCGATTGTACTCTTCAATACACCACATAAAACATGATATCTGAAAACAACAAAAGAAATTGAGTTAACTATTTTTGTAAATAAACTCTTCAAGAAATAATGTTGCCATATGCATCCACAAAAACAAATACTATCAAAGTTATTGGAAAAAGGTTATTCAGCTCTCTTCAAAATATATTCTTATGTGTTCAACAGAAGACAGAGATTCAAACAGGTTTGGAACAAGTGAAGGTTGAGTAAACTAATACAGAATTTTTGGTTTATATCATTTTGGTTGAACTGTGGCTCAGTGATTAGCATTGCTGCTTCACAGCAAGAAGGTGGCTGGTTCAAGAAAAGACTATAGAATACACAAGACATGTCACTGGTATAGTTTTGAATGGAAAAAAGTGTCAATAAGGCAAATGAAGCCCTGCCTACTGTAGACTAATGATTCTCCGGGGAGAAGCTAGGACCAGACATGTGCTTTTATAACAGTTTTTTTGTGATCAACAAATGCACTGGAATCTCAGCGGATACTTGCTTGACAGACATAATAAATATGTACAAATAAAGCTTGAAATCTGCGATTTTAAATGAACCAACTAGATTTGACAACAAGAGTTTTGTAATGTGTATGAAATAAACGCGAGGAACAGGGTAAAGTCTAGATCGGATACGCGGCCGACCGGCGGTGCGATATTCACATCAATATAGCAGCATTTTTTATGACACTGTATAAAAATAATTCATATTTTTACAGTACTGTGATTGCTGGGGTTGGGGTTGGGGTAGGCATTAAAAAATACAATTTATTGGGTAATTTAATAGATAGCATAAACAATTCTCCGAACAACAACTGTTTTTACGTTACTGTGACGGTTGGGTTTAGGGTTGGAGTGGAGTTAGACGTTAATAAAATACAGCAAATTTTTTTATAATAATATAAGTAATTCTCGTTAATTTATACGGCTGCAACCATATCCCATCTAGCATCAATCAAGGCACAGTCCGTCCTCTCAAATGCACATTACATGAAAACAACTACTCAAACGCCCAACAAACTTGCAAACAAAGAGTCGCTGTCATTTCTGGAGATGACTCATCATCGAGACCAAGTTGTAAATTACTTTAGAAGAGCAGAGCAATCAGACGATCATTATCCAGAGGATGATAATGTGTAGAACATCCATGAGGTTGGTACTGTGATCTCATTGCTTTCGAGTGCACGTGCACATCAGCTAGGACAACCTGAAAAATGCTGTTGATGCTTATGAGATGGTTGTTGTTTAATTTTATTGGTGATTCCAAATATGTATTGTAATTGTAAGCTAAGCAAACAGTTTTGGAGAATCTGATGTTTCCCCATTCAGACAGAACACCCGAGATGCCCGAGAGGGCATACTGGCTGCCGAGTGAAATGACTTGGAACAGGTGAATAAGATCCAAAAGTTTGTGTTCATATAATTATTAATCATCTGTTTTTAAATGGTCTGTCTCTAAAAGTTAAGGGGACATATTCCCCCTGTCACCCCAGTTTGCTTTTTCCCCAGCCTCACACAACTGATGAAATATTCAAATCTCAAAGCATTTTTCACCGCAATCTGGCAACATACACTACAACCCAGCTGATGATTTCTGCGTAGGTGGTAGATGCAGGATTTAAACTGCAGCGGTAGCAACATTGGTAGTAGACCAGGGGTGGGGGGTTATTCTGCATTTGTCCTTTATCAGGTGTTTTACCACCATCGCCTCTGGAATAAAAGCACTGGCAGTGTTCACCTGGTTCATATGCCAGCCTTGAGCTTTAAAAGAAAATGCTAGAAAAAACTGGGCACATTTTCACCCAGCACTGAATGAGTAATGTCGACACTGTTTAAAAACATCTGTACATCTGCAGCCAAAGGTTCTCCAAGTGATTCCTTCTCCTCCGCGTCCTCCAGCAGAGCTCAGCCAAAGGTAAGAGGCAAACAGAGGTCATTCTCTCCCCAGGGAGCTTTTCCTGTTTGCAAACATATACTGCCTCAATCACCAGTGGCAGTGGCAAAGCAGCTTGGCAGGATTGAGCATTTGTTCAGAGGTGTGTGAATGTGAATGTCCTAACAGCAATAATCAAGAGACGAGAAGTACGCGAATGCAGTATGCTGGGACGCTATATATCTTGAAGGTTTAGGAGGAGGGGAATGAGGTGTTGCTACTTGCAAGGCATAAGAAAAAGTAGAATTATGGGCTGTCAGAGAACTACGGGCATATTTATTGGAAGGATGATACACTTTAAAGCACTCTAACGCCTGTTTGACACACTATATTTACTGGAATACAACTTAAAGAGGCAGTACACCCAAAATGTACAAGTAAGATGGGGTAGAAATCAAACAAAATTTTTTTATTCTGTTGAACACAAACAAATATTTTGACCAACTATATTGACCAAAACATACTAAAGAAGGGGCATCACAGTGGCTCAGTGGTTAGCACTGTCGCTTCACAGCAGGAAGGTTACTGGTTCCAGTCCCAGAGTTTGCAAGTTCTCCCCGTGTTTGTGTGGGTTTCCTCCTGGGGCTCAATTTTCAGTGTATGAGTGTAAATGTGAGAGTGTGTTCAGGTGTTCAGTACTGGATTGCAGTTGGAAGGGAATCCTTTGAGTAAAACATATGCCGTAATAGTTGGCGGTTCATTCTGCTGTGGCAACCCCTGATAAATAAGGGACTAAGCTGAAGGAAAATTACTAAAACTAAACAAAATATCCCAACTTATCTGTTTTTTTCCCTTCTAAATACAGCTATAATCTTGGGCAACTTATAGTCAGGTACAGATATTGTCATGATTTCCAGAAAATACTGTGTACAAATCTAATTAAAAAATCCCATTTTCCTTTCAAAGTTGGAAAATAAATTTGCATTTATAACTTATTATTCCAATAAATTATTTAAATATTGCATAACCCACATTTTTATGTTTTAGTGTTTTTGTCCAGCATTTTTCTACCCCAATTTACATAAAAAAACAAGTTAATGTCACACACACACACAAACACAAAGACATTTAAACGGCAGTGAGAACAATTAAGAACGATGTGTGTGGCGAACGCTAAAGTATGTACTTATAAAATGTCACTTCATATTTAGTCTGCTTTTGTACAAAGGTAAATACCACTGGCTTCAGAAGGCACAGCTAATTACTGATGTAATGTTAAGAGGCATTTTCATTTCCGCAAAGGTGAAATAGTGTCAAATGGACTCACTAAAGCTCATTTAAAAGAAAATCAATACAGACCTGACTGGCAGCACCCCAACGTTTAGCAGAGCAGATTAAGTTTATATGGTTAGATTCAATGTGCAAAATTTACATTGACAATCGGGGGGACGACTTTTTCAGTAATGTTAGTTTGTGTAAAACATGCTTCAGTGAACCAAATTTATATTCATTCATTCATTCATTCATTCATTTTCCTTTGCCTTAGTCCCTTATTTATCAGGGGTCCCAACAGCGGTATGAAATTTATATACAGTTAGGTCCATTAATATTTAGACATCTACACAATTCTAACATTTTTGGCTTATACACCAACATAATTGATTTGAATGAAATGAACAAGATGTGTTTAACTGCAGACTGTCAGCTTTCATTCAAGGGTATTTACATCCTAATCAGGTGAACGCTGTAGAAATTACAACAGTTTGCATTTGTGTCCTGGAAATACCCTCTAATTAAAGATGACAATCTGCAGTTCAGGCACCTTCAGTTCAGGCATCTTGTTCGCTTTATTTTCAAATCGTGTTGGTGTATAGAACAAAAAAAGTAGATTGTGTCGATGTCCAAATATTTATGGACCTAACTGTATTTAATTCAATTACATTTACTGTATTAATCAAACGTACTTATTCTTTAGTGTTTTGAGAGATATTGAGTGTATTCTGACCAACAGTAACCTTTGATTGGCTATTTCAGCAGATCTCAAATTCTCAAAGATGACTTTAATTTTAAAACAAACGGTGACACACTTGCATTCCTGCACCAACAAATGGACGACCATGAAAGATTGCGTTTATTATTTTACTGTTTAACTTTCATGGGCAAGCAGCAGTCTATTAAAATAGAATATGCACCTACTTTTACAACTATATGTTGGTACAAAACCCATCGTATCCCAACTCAAAATCCCAACGTATTTCCTGTTTTACATTTTTTATTTCTATAGCTTTAGAGAATCCAAAAGGAGTTACATATTGATGCATAATGTTATGATAGCTGTTTTAACATTAAGTTATGATTGACTTGCCAATTCAATTCAATTCAATTCAATTCAATTCAGCTTCATTTGTATAGCGCTTTTACAATGTAGATTGTGTCAAAGCAGCTTCACATAAATGGTCATAGTAACTGGAACAGTGTAGTTCAGTTTTTAGTGTTTAAGTTCAGTTCAGTTCAGTTTAGCTCAGTTCAGTGTGATTTAATCATTACTGAGAGTTGCTACTTGATACAGTTACAAAATAGCTTGATAACAAGTAGGAAACGTTTATGGGCCAATGACATGACCACACTGAAATGGTTTATTGGTGCTCTAGATCTGCCAATTACAGACTGTTGAGTTAATAGACTGATGGGCATGATTATGCACACACAATGGAACAAATGTGTATTTATATTATATAATACTTTAATTATTAAAATTGTTATTAAATATACAAAACAGGGCAAACTCTCTATTTAAATGGCTGAGCCTTCAAAACATCTGGCTTTTATGATGTGCTTTAGGGGGATTCAAAACAATAATTAGAAAGAAGAATCCCCCCGGAATTCACACCTTTGTTAAATTAGCTAGAAATACCAACAGTATCTGGATGCAGACTTGGATTTGCAAGATGAAACTGAAAATCTCACACTTCCAATGTCAGACACAATGCACTTAATGGAGCTAGTGGCATCAGTGTGAGGGGTAGGGTTAAGGGTGCGCATTAAAAGCACTGCATGCAGCTCGCCTTGCAACTACACCTAGTCTGCATCAAGACCCCACTGAGAAACACAGTTACTTGAAAATTTACAATTAACAGTTACTTGATGGCATTCTTCAAATGTAAAAATTAATATAACACAAAAGTGCCATGTTTTCAGACATACTAAATTAATTTTAGACATAATCAATTTTTTTTAAACTTCAGAATTGTTACCAGACCACGTAGAATAAAACAAATATAACCGCATTGCTCAACTTAATAAACCCATATAAACCCAGACAATCTGATCATTTTCAAGTGATTTTTTCATGTTTCCATTGCTGTATATTCCAAACAGACCAGATTGTTGAGTATGTTTATGATTTCCCTCTTATTTCAAGAATTGCCTCATATTTCAAAAACAGACCAACATCTCCCTCAGCCAATCAGTAATTTTTTCAGTCTCCAATAAATCAGAATTCACCCCGTTTCTGCCAACTTCAGAGCCTATATTGATTTCGCCAAAGATTACTCTATTCATCCAACGTCCTGCAGTCTATACCCTTCAAATCAATATCCAGGCTATTTTTAACCATACAAACAAATTTGAAGCGATTGGAGTCTGTCTGTACCTTGACCAGATCCTCCAGCTCCGAGGTGTTGACACAGGTGTGCATTGAGAGAAAGTCGATCTTCTCCTGGATGATGCGATACTTCTGCAAGCCCTCCTCAGGCTGTTCCAGTGCTTTGAACACAGTGGCACCGATGATCAGGTACAGGACCACCAGCAGGAAGATGGCCAGCACTGTTTTCCACTTCATTACGGTGGTTATGCTCTCACAATCATCTCCAGAGTTGTACACGATGGGCTTGGAGGAGAATGACAGCCGTGGTTTGGTGTTGTGCGTGGCTGATTTAGGATCTAAAAGATCAGGTGCAGCCACTGGGGGGAACAAAGGGGGAGAGGGAGAGAGAGAGAGAGAAAGATACGGGCTGTAAAACATAGTGGTTAATAAATTTAAAAGAAATTATTGTTAATGGGGCTTTAGTAGTTCTATAAACATGCTAGTATTGGCGTTTAAAGAGACTGGCTTTATTTCTAGATGTTTATAGTTGTGTTTTGCTATGTCTTTGTGCATGGCCTAAAACACATTCATGTGTTTACATGGAAGCATTAATAAATAATAGCAGTGGTGAAAGGCACTGACAGCTGCTGGGTTTTAAAACAGTGATGAATTTGGTTTAGTTCTTGGATATAGATTCATGGTTCAAAAATATTTCTTGTTTTCTGGAATCAAAGTCACTGAGCATTTAGAGTTTGCTCAAAGGAAATATTGTGTATCATATTTTCATAGGATTTCTTTTAGGCATTGTTTTAGGCTATTTGAGAGGAATCTTATTAAAGATTCATCATTTCACACTGAAAAATGACTTGCAAATGTTAACATTGAATACAAATAAATGAAATTAGGGCTGCACGATATAGGTCATTTCTACTATTCGGTGCCATTACAGGGTAGTAACTTTCCCTGAAAATTTTTTACATTTTCCAAGATTTTATCACTTCAACTGATTCTATAAGTAACTATAAGTAAAATATAATGGTCCAGCTTAGGATATTAAAGTTTAGCATTTTTTAATAAAATTTATAGAATTTTCACATGTACCTCAGGCCAAATGTTCCCCCTTTTACAGAACATTTTCATAAAGGTGTTTAAAATAATTAGTTACTGTAATATTTATATTTTCTAAGAGCTAAAATTTCCATCACTTTACTCTGCAATAGTAATTTTTAAAAGGTATTACTAAACAAGATTTATATAACAAAGACTTGTTATAATTTATTCTAAATTGAATGTATTTCATTTAGTATAAAAAAGACACTGCAATGCAACTAAATCCCGTTTTTAAGTGACTTAGTTTTGTCAGTTCTTTGGATGCAAGTAACCAGAAAAGCGTGTGTAATATTTAATTAATATGAAAAAACTACATAGTTGACAGGTTGAAGAGTGGAGTAACAGGATGGACTTTACAATAGGAATGAAGGCAACTTGTTTGTCACACCCTCATTAGATTATTAATAACAAAATTATAGTTTTTGATTTATCATGAAAAAACAGCAACATTTTCAATGTCACATTAAAATGTCATATGTCTCAATCGTCAAAATACCCAAGTGAAATACAAGGAATATTACATATTTTATACAGATAAAATAGTGAAATACTGAAAATTGCAAATAAAACAATTATTTTAAATTAGAATTTTTATTATGGTTTGCACCATGATGTGCCCTGTATCATTTTTAAATATTCTGTACCATATAATGTCAAGGGGACACAAATGACAACGAATTGTGGGAATGACCCACATTAGAAATATCTGACATTGTGAAATTTTGTATTTCTGCGATATATATTGCAATGTGAATATAGCTTTATTTGTAAAGAATTCTTCATTTTAGATTGGTTGGGGTGATATTGTAGGGGATTGGATCTCGAATAATATGCAACAAATAACTTACAAGCGTAGATAAATGAAATATAGCAAAAATAAAAGTGAATGAAAGTTTTCTGGAGAGTCTAACAGTATTTAGATATAAATATTAAACAATCAACACTGCATAGCCTTTATTGTATATAATGCAAACTTTAATAAAGTTACAAACACTAAAATCTATTGCTTTAAACCTAGGGTGCCCAAACTTTTTCACATGATGGGACAAAAACCAAATATCTTTGCGAGCTGTGGGCCAAAAATAAATATGCCAAAATAAATTACATCAAAGTTGCCATGTGTAAATTACTAACTTATGATATAATATTTAAACTAACTTTTTAAATTATAATTTATTGCAATAAAAACATAAACAGGCAACGCAGTGGCGCAGTAAGTAGTGCTGTTGCCTCACAGCAAGAAGGTTGCTGGTTCAATCCTCTGCTCAGTTGGCGTGTCTGTGTGGAGTTTGCATGTTCTCCCTGTGTTTGCGTGGGTTTCCTCCGGGTGCTCCGGTTTCCCCCACAGTCCAAAGACATGCGGTACAGGTGAATTGGGTAAGCTAAATTGTCCGTAGTGTATAAGTGTGTGTGTAAATGTGTGTGTGGATGTTTCCCAGAGATGGGTTGCGGCTGGAAGGGCATCCGCTGCGTAAAAATGTGCTGGATAAATTGGCGGTTCATTCCGCTGTGGCGACCCCGGATTAATAAAGGGACTAAGCCGACAAGAAAATAAATGAATAAATGAAAAACATAAACAATGCTGATCTCTAAAGCAAACCCATCATTCTCCCTTTATTCTCAGATTAGATAGTGGGCCAAATCAAAGGTTACCATTGGCCAACTTTGGCATCTCTGCTTTAAACTCTGAAATGTTGAAATGTTCATACAGTCACAGGCTCTAAAGTGAAAGTTCACCCAAAAATGAAAATTGACACTATTTACTCACCCTTCACTTGTCTCAAGTCTTTATTAGTTATTAAAATGTCTTCTTTTTCTCTTTAACATAAAAAAGAAACTCAGAAATGTCTGAAAACAGTGAGTAAAGTTTACTTTTTGGGTGAACTATCTCTTTAAAAATGCATGCAGATGATAAACTTTTACTCCACTATAATTCAACTCTGCATTGATTATAATCAGCTATAATCCCAACTCAACATTGAAGATCCTGCGATGTGACTATATTGCGGATGCACACATTGTGATATCGATGCTGAAACGATACATTGTGCAGCCCTAAATGGAATGTAATAGTAAATAAAATGCAATTTTTGCAAGGAAAAAAGTATGTTTATTTAAAACTTACTTCAACAATCCAAAATTAAACCTTTTTTTTTAAATACACTCCTAAAATAAATGTTCTTTATCAGCATTAATGGCTTCATTAGAACCTTAAACATTGCTTAGAAATATTAAATAGTGAATTTGTAGTGGAAACTGGTTCTTTAGGTTATTAAAACATTTTTCACATTTAATAAAGAAACATTTTTATGATTTGTTCCAAAGCCTATTTATTTTAGGAATGCTCTTTTTTTGTCCGCAGAGCAGTGAAACCCGATGCTTTATCAGCGAGTGTATTATTTTGAGTCCTTCTCCACCGACTTCTGCAGTGTTAAAGCCAAGTGTGAAAACCTCTCTAACAAACTAGTGCTAGTGAACGTAATGTTCTCCTCACTAGTGTCCAGTATGCAGCGTGTGGACCAGCCTACGTTATGCAAGGCAACGCAACTTTCAGCACTAAATTAGAGCTGCAGATTTTCCCTCTGTGCATAATTCAGGCCTCAATGCTTATTAATGATCTGTTAGTTACTGAATCCCCAGAGGCTTCCAGGTGCACTTTTTTCATTCGTTTCCAGGGAACATCAGAAGCTTTAACCCATGCAGACCCCATCGAATAAATCTTCTTAATAATTTTTTAATGTTCTTTTGATGCCATAAAATTGGATTTCAAAAGAAATATCTTGAAACTATATCAGTGAGACAAGTGATTGTAACATTAACAGGCATTGTAATCACCCGGTTGACATTTTGTGCATATCATTAGAACTAAAAAAATATATATATACTGACATAAAATACTGTCAGAAACACTACTGAATCAAATAAATTGTTTTTATTGCTTCTTAGAGGGCCTGTTAAAGGGTTTATTTATTATTTTTGATGTTGTAGTAGGCACGTAAGGCATGATATATTGCACTACTGATAGATGTGACTTCAGTTATAATCCTCCTACAAATCTGGAAACTTGTCAAAGCTGTGGGTGGTGTAGTGCTGTGAAACAGAAACTGCACTGGTCATTGAAAGGTTACAGTTCAGAGCCTGCAGAAGCCAATCTAAGAGTCATCACCATCGTAACAAGTGTGATCTTGCACTATTTTACCTGTTACTTACCTTTTTCTTTTTAAACAACACTGAATTCTAGATTTTACTTTCTAAACATTTAAAAATAAACTTTTAGAAAATATTATTCTTTACAAATTAATTATTTATTGTAGATTTGTCTTGAACAAATTTAATTATGTGGAGTTTACTCTAACTAAACCACAAAAATTAGCTATTAAAAATTTACAGATTATTTTTAATTATTATTTATTGTCACCAGATGATTTCTTTACATATTTTTTCAAATCATTTTTATTTGGAGAATGCTTCAACAATAAATAATTTTAAGGTAACCAGTCATGCCAAAATTTGACTGATTTTAGAAAATGTCTTGATTTAAAACTGAAAATTGTCTCAAGTTTGTATTGAAGAAATCTACATGTGTAATTCATTTTAACCACATCCAGCTAGTTAAGCAATTAGTTTATTTATTGATTGATTGTTTTGAATTGATCACCATGTCACAAGATCACCAATTCTTTTCAGCACTGTAAAACATTGACAAACCATAATAATGAGGAAAGTACTATTGAAAATTTACTTATTCTTTTGACTGGATTTATAAACAATCATATGTGGTGTCCCCCCTGAACCTTACTTTGGCTTTCAATGGGTTAAATATCGTGCCAAATTTACTGTGCAACACATGATAAACAATCGAATTAATTGTACATTAGGCTACGCACTTACTACTTTGTGGGATCTGCTGTTCTCGCTGCTCCTCATCAGGTAGGTCAGGACCACTTGACTTGTTTTCTAGATGATCTCAGGAGCAAACGAGCGAAAACGGGACGTTAATCATGACACCAAACGAACGAGCTCGCCTCTCTCCGACTCCTCTTCTGGGCTTTCATGCCTCTGTCCAGTTTTAAAGCTCCATGCGAACAGTATCTTGGAATCCAGCGCTGGATTTCGTGGTTGAGTAAGCAGTGAAGTGAGAAGGGAGTGTCCAAAGGGGGCACACGGATAATTGGACGGGCTGTTCTCATCATGAGCGCGTCCGTCTCCGTGTGTTCACTTCACGGTCTGTGAGCTGCTTTCCTTTCAGACTCCACGCGCGCGAGCGTCACTCCAGAGCTGAGGGTCACGTCTCATGTCGGTCAATAAAACAGTGAAGAGAAACATGAGTTCAGTTTAGTAGCTGCTTTGGAGTAAATCTTCGAAAGGCTAAGAGTTAAATAAATATCGAAAATGAGAGAAGAGTAAAATGTTAGTTTCAACGAAAACAAATGAAGTCTCAAGATCCTGACATGGCACATGAAAAAGTTGTTGGATCCTTTTTGAGATGGAAATGACTTAACTAGCCACTGAGTGGGATTAATGGGGAAATTTGGTTCCTAATAGAAGTGTTTCGAACAACTGACGAAAACAGAATGTTCCTCTAATGTTCCTGTGTCCCAGCGGGGACCTTGACGTCAAAACGACATCAAAGTAACATTGATGTAAAAAAAAAAGTCATTGATTTGATGTAAAAACCTTGACGTTTATTTGATATCCACACATTGATACAAAAAGTATTACAATAAAAAAGTTTTATTTAGTTTTATCCCTACGCCATCAAGTTAAAATTGGCATTAAAACATATATCAAAAATGAATTACAGTCCTGTAAGCTATTTTTGATGTGTTAATTGACATTAATGTTATCAATTGACATCATATTGATTTGCATTTTTAGATGTGTTTTTAATGTCTTTTTGGCGTCAAGGTGCCCGCTGGGATGGTTCTTGTTTGGTTCCCATTACCCATTTAGTTATAAGAAAATGCTCTGGAGTCTATGGTGGCAGAGAGAGCTTAACGTCCCAGCTGACACATAATGTGATAAGACATTAATATTAGGTTAAATTTAGGCCGCCAGCACCTAAAGACGGTGTTATTTTGACATTTAATAACGGCATAAAGTAACATTGTTATTTTGTTGATTTTAGGTTGTGTTAGAAACTGACCAAAATCCAATGTCGAGCCAACATCTTAAACCAACGTCATATTGATCACGTTCATATTGATATTCATCAGGTATGGCAAACAAAATCCAACTTCTGATCGACATCATATTAATAACGTCCACACAATGTCAAGCTGTAACATTAGATGCTGATATTTTGTTGTTTTTAAGTTGCGTTGGAAAGTGACCAAACTGCAATGTCTGTCCAATGATGGACATTGACGTCGGACTGACATTGGGTTCTGACATTAAACTGATTTTCATTTCCAAACAAAATGCAAAGTCCCACGATGTTGGAGTACAACTTCAATCTGGCATCATGTTGATGTCCTGTGCCGTTTTCCCGGTGTATTGTAAGAAAATGCAGAGTGTTTTCGTACATTGTTTGTGTTGTGAGAAAATAGAGTGCGTTTTTTTTTTATTAAATGTGTTTGCATTGTGACGATTTGCAGCATGTGTGCTGTCAAACTAATGAAGTTCTTTTTAAAGTTTGCTGGCATTTTTTGTAATTGCAGGTGTATTCCTAAATTGCAGCACGCTAAGTTCTCTCGGCCGCTGTAGGGGACTATTTGTTTTGGTAACCAAAAATGTACCTTTCCAGAGCAATTGCAGGGAAGTTTTCCTGTAACAACTCTAAAGAAAACACACAAAACTAAACTTTTCACCAAAAGAGAACATTATGTTTACATAATGGAAATTTTCATTGCTAACCAAAATACAACATTCTGAGTAACCAAAAATGGTTTGATGGGATAAGACTCAATTGTTCTGCACTGGTTGTACTCCATATGTTTGATTAATTAAAAACAACCATCTCATAAAAGTCAATTATTAAAAAAAATCAGACTGCATTGGTTTAGATATTTAATTAATTAAAAAACTGTTCAAGAATCGACTCCCATCATCACACTGTAAATGTAATTTTTGATTAATTATGAACATAGCCATCATTTGTTCAAGAATCAAACAGCATTTGTCACTCTATATTTGGTCATTCAGATCCAGCTCAAAAGAATCACTTGTTCAATCATCAGATTTGTTTCACTGCATTTGTTGATTCATTAATAACAACCATTTGTTCATGGATCATCAGACTGCACTGATCATAACACGGCTTTGTCTTTCTTCTTCTACAAAGGGAATGCTGTTGTAAATAAGTGAACACATATTTATGGACATCATAAATACAGCAGAAAAGTCTCATCTTTCTGGTAGTTTACCAGTTGTTTACAGGCTACGTTTTAAAAAACAGATTTCTGCTTGAAAGTTTCAGGTATGCTTGCAATATATAGCTATATTGCCAGAGAAAAGTTTTACATATTTCAAAATAATAAACAACAAAAGCTTTTTTCACTCATAAATCATAAAGTGGCACCCTAAAATTGCACAATTCAAAATCGACTACAAACAGGAATAGTTGCATGCTAATATGATGCAAAGGTTGTGCTCAGTTTCATTCTGTTCTCTTATGAGCAGTGGAGAAATGTTTTTCTGTTAAAGTACAGCTTGTAACTAGCTACATTTCCCCAGTAGAAATAAAAAAGACTGTTCAAGGTTGCTGTTGAGCACTATTCAAATATTATTACAGCATGCGTCAACTAAACCATATTCTTCTGATGTGTCATTCTTGCTCAAATCATCCATCAGTACAAGAAAATTCCTATAATGGCTTTGGTGTGTTCTGTGTTCCAGCTGTGACTGCATTAAAGTCATGCATTCCTAATACAGCTCCCATTGAGATGAAAATGAAAATGGCTGAACATACATTGCATAAGTGAAGATAAATTGTTCCTCGAATATTTGTTAGAGCATGCACAGAGAGTGATTGTCAATAGCGAATGACAAAAACTGCACACAGTGAGTTATATTGCGTGTAATGTTGACGTGACTTGGCATGACCTCATGTTAAACTCACAAACTGACAATTATCAGAGTTTCCGTAGAATCTATTGATGCATCACGCTTTTAAAATACAGCTGCTCATTTCATTTCCCACAGACACTAACTTCTGTTTCCCCTTCCTTTTCCCCTTTCATTGTTTTTTTCACCTTGGCAATCACACTTTCTCTCACCGAGGTGGCTAAAATTGTGGGTCCTTTGGGCAAAGACGGAGCGGCATCAAAGGCACATGTGCACTTACTGTACATTTCATGCTCAAAGTCTTCATCAGTTTCCTCCATTGGTAGCCGTTACAGACTGCTATTGATTCTGGAATACCCATACCTCATTTACACTGAATACTGACATGATTTTTTTAATCATGGAGGACATTTATGCCACAGCTGTATCACCCTGCAGCCCAAGACTGGTTACTCACTGAAGCCAAGTAGGGCTGAGCCTGGACAGTAACTGGATTGGAGACCACATGGGAAAACTAGGTTGCTGTTGGAAGTGGTGTTAGTGAGACCAGCAGGAGGGTGCTCAACCTGCGGTCTGTGTGAAGGCTGGTTTATACTTCTGTATTGAGTGATCGCCGTGACCCACGGTGCATGCCTTGTGCGTTGCTGTGCATTTACACTTCTGCGAGCTGTTTGTGTTGCTCTGCAATAACACTTCTGAAACAATAGCTGGCAGTATGTTTTTAAGGTTCCTCTGTCGAGTTTCTTTGCTGGTATTTTATTTTTTCTAAATGCTACCTTAATGTACAAGTAGCTAAAACCTGGTCATTCTGAGGCAGAAAATAAAACACAAAACAGCAGTTTCCATCTATAGCTACTTCACAGAATTCGACGCTTGTAAACACTTGTTCCATCAGGCTCACATGGCTCTATCCCCCGCCATCATTAGTGAGTGCTACCAAGCCGACCAATCACAGAGCTTGCACTATGTGCGACGTGTAGTTAAATTTTTTGAGAGGTGCGAGTCAGTGTCAGTGACGGCCTCGGTGAGGGCTATGCAACCACACGAAGGCTGTTTCGGACCATACGCATGTGCTTGATGCAAAAGTATACATCAACATACATCAGGCTGAGTTATGTAATGTCTTGTTTCCACTGAGTGGTGTGGTTCAGTACAGTACAGTTCAGAACAAGTCACCCAGATTAGGCTTGTGTTTCCACTGCTTACAGTACTCTTACCTGGTAAGTGGTGCGTACGCCAAAAAGATCAAAACAAAGTTATTCTCGCTCAAATAAGAAAGCTGTAATGGCCCCATAAACAACAATAGAGGACATAAAGCAGATTCTGCTCTTGCTTCTCAGCATGTGGTTGTTTGCCATAAGAAGACACACTTTGGTTGAGGATGGTTTGTTGCTGCCTACCGCCATTGTATTAGTATGATGTTGTGTTTCGACGTTGTATTTAAGATTGGCGCTTCCTGTGTTGTTGTTCCTTTATCTTGTTGCACATGTTGGTGACAATTTTGGTATGATACTGTTGCGTTGGGTACCTTTATGAAAAGGTCACAAAAAAGTGGTATGGTACGGTTCGTTATTTCTTTGTACTTTTAACAGTGGAATCTGAAATACGCTATATTATACTGAATCTTACCACTCAGTTGAAATGAGCCGTAATTTGGCTTTTTATATCATGAGATTAATGTAAACACAGCTCAAAATGAAAACTGTTATAATTGGCTTAAACGTTTCCTTAAAATTTTATTAGTGATTATTTTAACAAAGTATTTGTAAGGAATTGTAAAATAGCTGTTTGTAAAGCATATAGTGTTAGCTGCTGGTAATAAAAAGCTCAGAATTGATTTATGGATTTAGTTGATTCCATCTCAGGATTGATTTCTTAAATGTTTTTATTGCAACAGCTTTAGAAATAACCCACATTTTTTTAGACTGATGTTGCTTTCTAGAACACTTGATTCTGATTGGGCAATCACATAATTCAGTGTCAATTCATTCTTCATAATGTGCACTGTTATGGATAGTAGCTCTCATATCACACCAGACTTACACTCTCTTGTTTTATATAGATGCTTCTGAAGCCATTCTGCATCTCAATTGTTGGGAAAATCATTGCACTTCAGTTTTAAAATACTGAATACTTTTGCATATTTATCTTGTTGCTTTTAATCTGCAAACATTTGTCATTTCAATTTAAATTAGTATTACATTTATTTTGTCAAATCCATTTAATTAACAACCATTAAAGGTAGCTTACATTTAA